ACAATGGGGGTGGGATATTACATTTTGATTGATGAAGGCTTCACCTCCCTATTATTCTAAGACACAGGCTGGAGGGACGTAACACAGGATGTGACTGGCAGAAATCCGCTTACACTATGGTATTGCCAAAAATAATAAAGATTTGATTTTAAATATACAATATGACAATTTCAAACAGTTTATTGATATATATTTTTACTCTATATTCCACAGGCTGTTTTTTTTTTTTTTATTTTGAACATGTGACCAGCAGCAGAGGACTAGAAGCTCCTCCTGCCTATGTTTTCCTGCAGGCAGGCTGGGAAAGAGCTGGGTCATGTGACATCTGTATATCGATTAGGAAAGCAGTACTTAGATGGGGTTCTTTTTTAATTAAAATAATTAGAGAGCCATCATTCACATACAGAAATAGGACAATGTAAATGAAACAGTGTGTGTTTAGTATGACTGTAACCACTTGACCGGGTTATAGCTGAATGATGGCTACAATGCGGACGTCTAGTTCTGGGAGGGCATCATATGACGTCCTCCAGAACCACGCCTCCCAGTGAGCTCTGTGATCGCTGTGTCCTTTAGACACAGCTGATTACATGACATGGTAATAACGTCCTTACAGGATGTCTTCAACTTACAAGCCAAACCTCAATGCACTGTTTAATTGGGCAACTATGTGGCAAATGAGATTTAATGTTGATAAATGTAAGGTTATGCACTTTGGGGCTAAGAATATGCATACATCATACATACTAGGGGGAGGACAACTGGGGGAATCAATGGTGGAGAAGGATCTAGAGCAGTGGTTCTCAACCTTTCTAATGCCGTGACCCCTTAATATAGTTCCTCATGTTGTGGTGACCCCCAACCATAAAATTATTTTCATTGCTACTTCATAACTGTAATTTTGCAGTGGGAGGAGTAGTGCCATGTCATTGGTGTCAGTGGAAGGAGTAGTGCCCCATCACTGATGTCAGTGGGATGAATAGTGCCCCATTGTTGGTATCAGTGGGAGGAATAGTGCCCCATCATCGTTGGTGTCAGTGGGAGGAATAGTGCCCCATCGTTGGTATCAGTGGGAGGAATAGTGCCCCATCACTGTCAGTGTCAGTGGGAGGAATAGTGCCCCATCATGGTGTCAGTGGGAGGAATAGTGCCCCATCACTGGTGTCAGTGGGAGGAATAGTGCCCCATCGTTGGTGTCAGTGGGAGGAATAGTGCCCCATCGGTGTCAGTGGGAGGAATAGTGCCCCATCGTTGGTGTCAGTGGGGAGGAATAGTGCCCCATCGTTGGTGTCAGTGGGGGGAATAGTGCCCCATCGTTGGTGTCAGTGGGAGGAATAGTGCCCCATCGTTGGTGTCAGTGGGAGGAATAGTGCCCCATCGTTGCCAGTGGGAGGAATAGTGCCCCATCGTTGGTATCAGTGGGAGGAATAGTGCCCCATCGTTGGTGTCAGTGGGAGGAATAGTGCCCCATCGTTGGAGTCAGTGGGAGGAATAGTGCCCCATCATTGGTGTCAGTGGGAGGAATAGTGCCCCATCATTGGTGTCAGTGGGAGGAGTAGTGCCCCATCATTGGTGTCAGTGGGGGGAGTAGTGCCCCATCATTGGTGTCAGTGGGGGGAGTAGTGCCCCATCATTGGTGTCAGTGGGGGAGTAGTGCCCCATCATTGGTGTCAGTGGGAGGAATAGTGCCCCATCACTGGTGTCAGTGGGAGGAATAGTGCCCCATCATTGGTGTCAGTGGGGGGAGTAGTGCCCCATCATCATTGGTGTCAGTGGGAGGAGTAGTGCCCCATCATTGGTGTCAGTGGGAGGAGTAGTGCCCCATCATTGTGTCAGTGGGGGAGTAGTGCCCCATCATTGGTGTCAGTGGGGGAGTAGTGCCCCATCATTGGTGTCAGTGGGAGGAGTAGTGCCCATCATTGGTGTCAGTGGGGGGAGTAGTGCCCCATCATTGGTGTCAGTGGGGGAGTAGTGCCCCATCACTGGTGTCAGTGGGGGGAGTAGTGCCCCATCACTGGTGTCAGTGGGGGAGTAGTGCCCCATCACTGGTGTCAGTGGGGGAGTAGTGCCCATCACTGGTGTCAGTGGGAGGGAGTAGTGCCCCATCACTGGTGTCAGTGGTGGGGGAGTAGTGCCCCATCATTGGTGTCAGTGGGGGGAGGAGTAGTGCCCCATCATTGGTGTCAGTGGGGGAGTAGTGCCCCATCATTGGTGTCAGTGGGGGGTAGTAGTGCCCCATCATTGGTGTCAGTGGGGGAATAGTGCCCCATCATTGGTGTCAGTGGGGGGAGTAGTGCCCCATCACTGGTGTCAGTGGGGGGGGTAGTGCCCCATCACTGGTGTCAGTGGGAGGAATAGTGCCCATCATTGGTGTCAGTGGGAGGAATAGTGCCCCATCATTGATGTCAGTGGGTGGAGGAGAATAGTGCCCCATCATTGGGTCAGGGGGGGGGAAATAGTGCCCCATCGTTGGGGGGGGGGAGGAATAGTGCCCCATCGTTGGTGTCAGTGGGGGGAGGAATAGTGCCCCATCGTTGGTGTCAGGGGGGGAGGAATAGTGCCCCATCGTTGGTGTCAGTGGGGGGGAAATAGTGCCCCATCGTTGGTGTCAGGGGGGGGGAGGAATAGTGCCCCATCGTTGGTGTCAGTGGGGGGAGGAATAGTGCCCCATCGTTGTGTCAGTGGGGGGAGGAATAGTGCCCCATCGTTGGTGTCAGTGGGGGGAGGAATCATCGTTGGTGGGGGGGGAGGAATAGTGCCCCATCGTTGGTGTCAGTGGGGGGAGGAATAGTGCCCCATCGTTGGTATTCGTGACAGCCTGGGCTCGCTCTCTCACTTACCTGTCAGCTGTCTTCCTTCTCTGGCCGCTCTCTCTTCTCTTCACTCGCTCCGGCAGCTCCCTCGGTCTTCTTTGATGTACGCGCGCTGCCGCTCGGCTCCTCCTCTCCAAGCTCCACCTCCTCGCCGGTGATTGGCCGCCTGTGTGCCTCTCCTGAGCTACAGTTCCGGTGGCCAATCAGCGGCGAGGAGGCGGAGCTGCTGAGCGATCCCGGAGGTGTGGCCAGGTGACAGCAGCGTATCATCCCGCCCACACATCACCGGAGACTGCAGCGGTGTCTCGGTTCCTAAGACCATCGGAAATATGTGTTTTCCGATGGTCTTAGGCGACCCCTGGGAAATGGTCGTTCGACCCCCAAAGGGGTCGCGACCCCCAGGTTGAGAACCGCTGATCTAGAGGTTAATAATGACAATCAATGCTAAGCTGTGGTTTCTAAAGCGAGCAAAATCCTCTCTTGTATTAAAAGAGGTATAGACTCCAGAGAGAGAGATATCATATTACCCCTGTACAAATCATTAGTAAGACCTCATCTGGAATATGCAGTTCAGTTTTGGGCACCAATTCACAAAAAGAACATTGGGGAACTGGAGAAAGTACAGAGAAGGACAACCAAACTGATAAGAGGCATGGAGGAGCTCAGCTATGAGGAAAGATTAGAGGAACTGAATTTATTTTCTCTTGAGAAGAGGAGATTAAAGGGGGGATATGATCAACATGTATAAATACATCAGTGGTTCATATAGTGAACTCGGTGTAGAGCTATTCACCCTGAGGTCATCACAGAGGACAAGGGGGCACTCTTTACTTCTGGAGGAAAAGAAATTTAATCTCCAAACACGGAAAGGTTTCTTCACAGTAAGAGCTGTGAAAATGTGGAATAGACTCCCTCAAGAGTTGATTCTGGGCAGCTCAGTGGATTGCTTCATAATAGGCCTGGATTCTTTCCTAGATACACAGAATATAACTGGATACTATCATTTATAGGTAAAGTTGATCCAGGGAATATCCGATTGCCTCTCGGGGGATCAAGAAGGAATTATTTTCCCAGCATGTGCAAATTGGATCATGCTTTGCTGGGTTTTTTTTTGTCTTCCTCCGGATCAACTGTTGGTGTAGGATTATAACTTATTTTTTTTTTTTTTTATGGTTGAACTGGATGGACTTTTGTCTTTTTTCAGCCAGACTAACTATGTAACTATGTAAAGGGCCAATCACAGCGCCCTTTTACCATGTGATCAGCTGTGTTTAATGACACAGCTGCTTACAACGTAAATACAGTTAACGGCTGCACTTTCCTCACGCTGTCGCATCATGAGGTGAGAGAAAAGCCAATAACTGTATTTACGTTGTAATCAGCTGTGTCATTCAACACAACTGTAATCGACATCTGTATTTACACATCAGAGGACATCAGTGCAGCCACAACAGTGTCCATCAGTGCAGTTCCAGAAGTGTCCATCAGTGCTGCCAGTCAGTGCCCTTCACTGTGGCATATTAGTGCAGCCTCATCAGTGCCCATCAGTGCTGCATATCAGTGCCCATCAGTGTAGCCTCATTAGCGCTCATCAGTGAAGGAGAACATTTTGCAAACTTTTATAATAGAAACTAAGAAAAACAATATTTATTTTGTTTGTTTAGTAAAAAATAAAATAAAAATCCAGTGGTGAATAAATTCCACCAAAAGAAAGCTCTATATGTCTCAAAAAATTATAAAAATGTAATATGGGTACAGTGTTGCATGACGGCGCAATTGTCATTCAAAGTGCAACAGCATTGAAAGCTGAAAATTGACCTGGGCAGGAAGGGGGTGAAAGTGCCCTGTAGGCAAGTGGTGAAATAAAAAAAAGTGTAGTTATCCTACAATTCACCTAGTGATGCATCTGCTGTTATTCTAGCCCAGACATTGGACATAACAATATTATTTTGTCTTCTGGAGCATATCTGACTGTACTAGTTCTAGTCAGTATATTTGTTTAATTTAGGCTAATCAGTGACTTACTAGATATCTTAGAAGGTTTCTTGATCACTATTATGAAATAGGTGGTTGATTGCAATGAATGAGAAGTGTTCTTGAAAAAAGTAGCAAAGTTTTTATGTTGTTCACTTTTGTCTCTTTTTGTATCTTTCCTGCCCAGCTGCCAGCACCTGAGCTGACACCATCATGATGCAACATGTTCACTTGGTACCTGAGGAGGATGAAGAGGACCTGTATTCTGGATACAATGATTACAATCCAACCTATGATACTGAGGTGGGAATCCAATGGGTTGCCCTAATTCATGAAAGTAGAACTATGGTCAAACTTTAAAATTCATACATGTGATGTAGGCTGTCCATACCAATAAGAATGTGCCCCCGGAACATGTTGTAACTACTGTTGATCCTGCCAATAAAATAATTGGATAGGTACTTCCTTAGGGTGACAATGCTCTTCCTTCTCTAGCAAAATCATTGTGACATTGTCACGCTTTGCTGCTGCTGTTGATAGCCCCACTTAGCTCCACCCACAGCCCTTTAGCTTGATAATATATAGCTCTGTCTGCAGGTCATTTACCATTCCAGCTTGCCTTGAAAATGCCTTTTTATCGCTCTGATTTTAAAGTTTGCATGTATACCTGTTTAGCGCCTAAAGTAGAACTTAACTCCCAGGGGAGATTGTACCATTTAAACCCTCTCCCTCTGGCATTTACAAAAAGCCATTTTTCTCTGTATTTATTGATTTTCTTTTTTTAATTATTATTTCTTGGAACCCTCACCCTCTCATTTACCGTCATTCTGGTCTTGGCCATTGCTGCCTTCTAGGATATTCATGTCAGCAGGCCAGTGGGCACCCAGTGTGTCATTGGCAGCTGGCTGTCTAAACGCCAGCAGAGGCAGCCAGCTAAAGACAACCAAGTTGGTGGTGTGGGACCCGGGAAATGTCACCGAACAGCAGATCGCAATGCGACAACACTAGATTTGCTGTGGCTGGCAAGTATGCATTTTGAAGATAACTAGCAACACAAATTAGAGGAGGAAAAATACATGGCGGGGGGGGGGTTAAGTTACACTTTAAAGTCCAACTCCTGGCACAATTATTTTTATGGTTGTTGGGTGTTGCATAGCTGTAAATTCTAAAAAAGACTGGCAGCAGGCAGGTAGGTAGGTCTGTTTTATTGCATTAAGAACCAACCTGCTTACAGTTTTTAAAAAGGGGACTTTAGTTCCATTTTCGTCAGCCAAGGCATTACAGACCCCTGTTATTCATTGATAGCAGAGTATTGGAAAGGCAAAAGATGCAGCTCATTTTAGCATGCATGCTTGATCCTATATCAAGCTCTCATAGCTAGGAAGTGCATGCATGCTTGACTTCTATATCAAGCTCTCATAGCTAGGAAGTGTTCAGAATGAACCATGAAAGTAATGGGTAAAATAAGGGAACAACCACTCTATAAAACAGGTTTCAGACTTGCTTTTGTTTTATCTTGCAGGATTTGGAGAACGATGTGGCTTTTCAGGAAGCTTTGAAAACGAGTCATGGACGAAGACCTCCGGTACTTTGGGCAATATCATATTGTTGATGTTGTGTTAAGGGATATAACTAAATACATTTGGCTTGTAAATAGCCAAAATAAAAAATAATAATAATAATAGCAAACGTATCGTACTTACCTGCTCTGTGCAGTGGTTTTCCACAGAGCATCCTGGATCCTCCTCTTCTTGCATCCCCCGTCAGCGCTCCTGGCCCCTTCCTCCTGTCAGGTGCCCCCACAGCAAGTAGCTTGCTATGGGGGCACCCGAGCAGACGCCATTGGCTCCTGAGCCATGGCTCTGCGTGTCCATTCACACACAAAGCCGTGGCTCGGCCCCTCTCCCTCTCTCTCCTGATTGGCTCACTGGCTGTGACTGACAGCAGCGGGAGCCAATGGCTCCCACTGCTGCCTCAGCCAATCAGGAGTGAGAGTCCCCAGAGAACCAAGGCTGTTGGGATAATGTTCAAGAAGCAGGGGAGATGTCGCAAACACATATCCATAGAATGAATGAAGCAGAAGCAAGGAGATCCTTGCACCTCATGCCTTCTGGTAGAGCTTCCACAAAAGCAAAGAAAACAGTGAACAGCACAATAGTGACATCACTAAATCTCACTCCAAAATGAAGGAGACTAACAGACATAGTCACAGTGCCTTAGGTTCATGCTACAGGATGAGTCTGCAATTCAAGATAAAAGGTAAAGATATAAAATCTTCATTTCCCTTGTTCAGGTCCCCTAAAACCTGGCAATGGTTCTATCCCTTTCACCCTCTGTACAATAAAAACAGTTTGGGGAAGAGTTAGACTTTAAACAGCTCTGCGTCTGAAATGGCAGGAACAGTGCCAGGGATGTGTGACACCGCCTTGCAACAGACAAACTGTACCCAATGAAAGGCTTAAAAATTGTTATTGCCTACAAAACAAATTCAGACCTAATTAAGGCACACGATAAAATGATCGCTCTTTTTTTACTTGTTACAATTTTAATTCTTTGATGAAACAAGCAGTATTCTCAGAAACAGTAGTAATAATACAGAATGTTCAGAATTACTACTTTCTTTCTGGGTCTTGGGCAGTATAACTTTATAGTGGACCTCCAGCCTTAAAATGTTAATAAACCCAGGACCCTGCATTCACTATATCCAGTCTTCCACAGTACACAGAACATGGAAAGGCAATTATTTTAGTAAATATATAAACGGCTAAATACATTTTCTCTCATCAGCAGTATATAGCAGTCTTGTGACTTGTGGCCAACCACTGGTTAATATTGTAGGAGGAGTTTTCATTTTCCTCTGACTGTCCTATGAGGCTGCATAACCCCTGAGTCTAGATAGCTCTGATTGGCTCTGTGCAGATCGCATGCACCCTCCCAAATTAGAAAAACTCTAGCAATACACACCAAACAGAGCATGTGCAGACTTGCCACTGCTGCTCTAACTATGGCAGATGGATTGGGGACTGTGGAAGAAGGGGAGGGTCAGAGAAGACAGGATCAAACAACCTTTTTACACAATGTGGAGGATTAACACCTTAGGTTCTACAGTGAGTATAACAGGCATGCTTTGCTGCATACAGACTGATTTTACTGTTGTGGGTTTAGTAACACATTAGGCTTGGATTAATTAGAGAAGAGTCTAGGAAGTGTAGGAAAATCACTTCAAAATTATTTTGGGGTGACTTTCCTTTTTTTGGGGGGAGCTTGCATTCTACTTTAACCATTAGCCCTCTAGAAGATTTAACCCCCTTCCTGACCAGGCCATTTTTTGCGATACAGCGCTGCAATACTTTAACTGACAATTGCACGGTCATGCAACGCTGTATATAAATAAAATTTATGTAATTTTTTTCCCCACAAATAGAGCTTTCTTTCAGTGCTATATGATCACCTCTGTGGTTTTTATTTTTTCCACTATAAACAAAAATAGAACGACAATTTTGGGAAAAAAAAAAACATAATTTTTTACCTTTTGCTATTAAACATATCCAATAAAAAAAAATTTAAAAATCAAATTTCTTCATAAATTTAAGCCAAAATGTATTCTGCTACATGTCTATGCTAAAAAAAAAAAAATCTAAATTCATGTAAATGAATTGGTTTACGTGAAAGTTATAGCATCTACAAATGGCGGTATATATAGTGAATTTTTTTTTATACTAGCAATGGTGGTGATCAGTGACTTTCTGAAACTGGGTGCGAACTGACTAACTGCCACTGATATCCCCAGTGACACTAATACAGTGATCAGTGCTAATAAAAAGCACTGACACTGTACTAATGACACTGGGCAGGGAGGAGTTAACATCTGAGGCAATCAAAGAGTTAACTGTGTGCTGTGTGTGTTTTACTGTGTGCTGTGTTTTACTAGGGAGACATGCTGTTTTGTATCTCTGCTGTGCAGAGAGATACAAAACAGCATGTCCATGTTGACAGGAGAAAGGTCTGTGTTGTTTACACACAGGTCTCTCCCCTGTTAGCTTTACCCAATGATCACCAAGTGCCAGCCAGGAATCATGGGCCTGGACTCGGTGATTGGCATCCCTAGCTGCCAATAGCGGCGTGCGTGCCCACTAAACCAAAACACAAATTGCGTACAGTTGCAAGAAAAAGTATGTGAACCCCTTGGGATTACGTGGAGTTTTGCATGAATTGGGCATAAAATGTGCTCTGAACGTCATCTAAGTCACAGCAATAGAAGAACACAGTCTGCTTAACATAATACTACACAAACATTAGATGTTGCCATGGTTTAATTGCACATAACATGTAAACATTCACAGTGCAGATAGGAAAAAGTATGTGAGACCCTAGCTTAATGACTTCTCCCAGAGCTAATTGGAGCCAGGAGTGAGCCAACCTTGACTCCAATCAGTGTGATGATATTGGATGTGTTGCTGATAGCTGTCCTGCCCTTAAAAAACACACACCCTGTTTTGGGTTTACTGGTTTCAAGAAGCACTGTCTGATCTGAACCATGTCTCGCAGAAAAGAGCTCTCAGAAGACCTACGGTCAAGAATTGTTGACTTGCATGAAGCTGGAAAGGGTTACAAAAGTATCTCCAAAAGCCTTGATGTTCATGTGTCCACGGTAAGACAGACTGTCTACAAATGGAGAAAGTTTAGCACTGTTGCTACTCTCCCTAGGCGTGGTCGTCCTGTAAAAATGACTGCAAGAGCACAGCGCAGAATGCTGCATGAGGTAACGAAGAATCCCAGAGTATCAGCTAAAGACCTACAGAAATCTCTGGCACATGCTAACATTTTTGTTGACACATCTACAATAAGGAAAACATTAAACAAGAATGGAGTACATGGGAGGACACTACGGAGGAAGCCATTGCTGTCCAAAAAGAATATTGCAGCACGTTTGAAGTTTGCAAAAGAGCACCTGGATGTTCCACAGCACTACTGGCAAAATATACTGTGGGCAGATGAAACCAAGATTGAGTGGGAAGAACACACAACACTATGTGTGGAGAAAAAAAGGCACAGCACACCAACATCAAAACCTCATCCCCACTGTAAAACATGGCGAGGGAGCATCATGGTTTGGGGCTGCTTTGGGTGCCTCAGGGCCTGGACGGATTGTTGTCATTGATGGGAAAATGAATTCCAGAGTTTAGCAAGACATTTTGCAGGAAAACGTACGACCATCTGTCCGCCAACTGAAGCTCCGCAGAGGATGGGTGATGCAACAGGACAATGACCCAAAGCATACAAGTAATTCAACAAAACAATGGCTGCAACAGCACAGAATACGCCTTCTGGAGTGGCCCAGTCAGAGATCTGACCTCAACCCGATTGAAATGCTGTGGCATGACCTTAAGAGAGCAATTCACACCAGACATCCCAAGAATATTGCTACACTGAAACAGTTTTGTGAAGAAGAGTGGTCCAAAATTACTCCAGATCGTTGTGCAGGTCTGATCTGCAACTACAGGAAACGTTTGGTTGAAGTTATTGCTGCCAAAGGAGGGTCAACCAGTTATTAAGTCCAAAGGTTTCACATACTTTTTCCTCCCTGCACTGTGAATGTTTACATGTTATGTGCAATTAAACCATGGCAACATCTAATGTTTGTGTAGTATTATGTTCAGCAGACTGTGTTCTTCTATTTTTGTGACTTAGATGACGTTCAGAGCACATTTTATGCCCAATTCATGCAAAACTCCACGTAATCCCAAGGGTTTCACATACTTTTTCTTGCAACTGTATATATACATGATTTTGTATAGCCTGCCGTCCTGTAGCAGTACTTCTGCTATAAGGGCGAAGGGAAGGTGGTATATTGTATGTATCTACAATGTTTGTTCTGCAGCATAAATATTCTGTTGTATTCTTTAGAACATGACTAAGCAATGTCCAGAAATGGTCTTGGTTCATTTGTATTGCTCACTGTTTTTATATGGGACTTGCCTGTTTGCTACTGTTCTGCAATAAACTTGGTCTGTTACCCTGTGTCACATATGGTTAATTTGTCTGATACAGGGTACAGCTAAAGCCCCAGGGACAGCTCGTCAATTGGGGACTGGATTTGGTGTAAGTATATTTGTAATTTAAAACTTCCTATTTACAATTTCTAGTATCAGATATCTTATTCTTTCTTTAGCTGAATATGTCATATTGCCAATTTGCTGGTGTAAGTATGCTCTGAATTAGAATTGATCTAATTTTGTATTTTATTTTATCTAGAAAAAATATTTAATTAAGATGGAATTTAACCCAAAAAAAAAAATTACCGTATTTGCCGGCGTATAAGACGACCCCCCTACTTTTCCTGCTAAAATTTAGTGTTTGAGCTATACTCGCCGTATAAGACTACCCCTCTTCCAATGCACACCAGTGGCAGGAATAGTGCCCCATCATTGGTATCAGTGGCAGGAATAGTGCCCCATCATTGGTATCAGTGGCAGGAATAGTGCCCCATCATTGGTATCAGTGGGAGGAATAGTGCCCCATCATTGGTATCAGTGGCAGGAATAGTGCCCCATCATTGGTATCAGTGGCAGGAATAGTGCCCCATCATTAGTATCAGTGGGGGGAATAGTGCCCCATCATTGGTATCAGTGGGGGGAATAGTGCCCCATCATTGGTGTCAGTGGGAGGAATGGTGTCCCATCATTGGTATCATGGGGGTGGAATAGTGCCCCATCATTGGTGTCAGTGGGGGGGGGGGAATAGTGCCCCATCGTTGATGTCAGTGGGGGGGAGGAATAGTGCCCCATCGTTGGTGTCAGTGGGGGGGAGGAATAGTGCCCCATCATTGGTGTCAGTGGGGGGGAGGAATAGTGCCCCATCGTTGGTGTCAGTGGGGTGGAGGAATAGTGCCCCATCGTTGGTGTCAGTGGGAGGAATAGTGCCCCATCGTTGGTGTCAGTGGGAGGAATAGTGCCCCATCATTGGTATCAGTGGGAGGAATAGTGCTCCATCATTGGTATCAGTGACACCAATGATGGGGCACTATTCCTCCCACTGACACTTGCTGACCCTGTTCTCGTATGGTGCTGCTGCAGCCAGGATATGTGGTTGCAGCAGCACCTCTACACTGACCACTTACCTGCTGGTCCTGCACTCGATTTTCGCGGGGCCGCTCGGCTCCACCCCCTCGCCGGTGATTGGCCGCCTGTGTGCCTTTCCTGAGCTACAGTTCTGGCGGCCAATCACTGGTGAGGAGGCGGAGCCGAGCAGCCGCACGAACCTCCAGTGGCCGAACTGAAGGCGCAGCCGCGCTTCCTGGACCGGATCGTCGTGGGACCGGAACCAGGTAAGAAACAGCCGCTGCCCACCCCCCTGTACTTAGTGTCCCTTCCATTGGGGGAAGGGGGGGGCGGCGGCGGCAACGCGCCGCCCCCCTAAAAAGTGTCAGTATGCCGTATACCGGCGTATAAGACGACCCCCGACTTTTGAGAAGATTTTTAAGGGGTAAAAAGTCGTCTTATACGCCGGCAAATACGGTAGTATATTGCAGCTTAGAAAGCCTTAAATGCGGTGTTTGCATTAGTTTTACTTTTTAGGCTTTTTTTTATTTATTTATTTTTACCTGGTGATCTGGGCAGTAACACACTCCCTGTCTCTGGGTGTTTCTGTTCCACTGGAGTAGCAACAGAGACCTTTTGTGTAAGTATGCCCTGAATTAGAATTGATCTAATGTTGTATTTTTATTTTATCTAGAAAACATTTTTAATTAAGATCGAATTAAACCCAAAAACAAAAAATTTATATATTTTAGCTTACAAAGCTTTAAATGCGGTGGTTGCATTCATTTTGATTTTTAGGCTTTTTTCCCTTTATTTTCACCTGGCCAGTAATACACTTCCTGTCTCAGGGTTGTTCTTCTCCACTGGAGGAGCAACAGAGACACCTTTGGACAGTAGCATTATCAATTTGGGGGGAGGGTAGTGTTACACTAGTAGATTTAGATGGACTTGACCAACAAATTAAAGCTGAATGTCGGTTAACACTTTATAAACACTTACAGCAACAGTTTCTTTCCTTTTAGGATAAAGGTTTTACATAAATAAAAGCTGACCATTGTAAGCACCCCATGCCCAATGTTAATTGGTTTGTCTCAACCCTTTAACTACCACTTTTGCTGGACCACTTGGTCTGTTAAAGGAAATTAAATAACAGACTTACTGGCTAGATCACCAGGTGAATATAAAAAGAAAAACAAAGCAAACAAAGAAAACTAATGCATGCAGCCACCCCCAGAAATGTTACACTGCATTTTTTGGGATTAATACTGCTTTCATTTAAAGTCAGTGGAGGGAATTCAATAAAGCGGTTGCTCCACTTTTCTGGCATTCATTGCTCTTGTTTTCCGCTTTAATTAAATAATTGTTGTAATGTTTTGCACCCAATTAAAAAAACATCTGTGACAGATTTGGTTCTGACAGCGACTTGTGCACCAAATTCAAGTGGTTTCTAATTTGCTCTACTTCTACATTGTGGCACAACACCAGCGCTAAATTAAAAAATTAAATACTGACATGTCGTATCTTACTGAAGCGGAGCTAATTATAAGGCCAACTTTTTTTCATTGTGCAGATTTTGGAAAAAATGTCTCATGTGTTCAAAAAGTGGTACAGCCCCTCGTCAAATTAAAGTACATGTCATGGACAAGTACTGTACATGAATTTGGCACACACTGTGCCACTTTTAGAATGCATGCGAGACACTAGCTAAATCTCTCTGTGCTAGTCTTTATGAATTCCATGGACTATTACTATCTTATCTAAACACACTTGGATGAACCATTTGAACATTGGTATCTGTCTCTCCTCCAGTAGAGCTTAACCTGGCCATATGTGTATAGATTTGTTTTGTTCAGCCTGTGGGCAGAACAGATTCTTCCACCTGCGATAACAACACGGAGGGACGAATCTCCAGTACCCAACCCAGCACTAACAGCTATCAAAATTCATTATTAGTGCCTGCATCTGATTGGATGAAGACACTACTAAGGCAACAATTTTTGACCTGGCTCCTTCAACGGAAGCCGATTGTTGAGTTGACCTTTGTGGAGCCTGGTGGTGCCAACAGGGGTATCCATGGCTTCCCCTCTTTATATTCTAGCCATGGAGCACTTGGCTCAAGCAATCTGAGCAAATCCTCACATTAAGGGAATTTAGATCAAGGATCAGCATCACAAATAGGGACTGTTTGCGGTCGATCTTCTCCTGTACATATCAATCTCAGTATAGCATTTCTCTCACTAATGCAGGAATTTACATCATTTACCAAATTTAGTAACTTTAAGGCGAACTTTCATAAATCCGTTTGACTCAATGTCTCTCTATCCCATAAAGATGTGCAGCATCTATTCCAGTTCTTTCCTTTCCAATGGGCCACAAATTCTCTACAGTGCCTAAGAGTACTAATCTTAGATCTCCAAAACCTATATAACCTTAACTACTTACTTCTCTTACAAACCTCTCTGACTAAACTTAAAGAGTGGACTAAGCTATATATCGCTCTTGGTTTGGCCCAGTAGCACTATTCAAAATGGGCATGTTATCTCACTTCTGTTTTTTATTTAAAGCTGTCCCAATATTGCTTCCACCAACCTTTTTTCTCCAAATTGAAATCAGTCCTAACACAATACATCTGGGCTGGTACACTCCCTCTTCAATACAAAGTTTTGATCCAGAAAAAAATGATGGGGTTTAGGCCTTCCTCATCTTGAAATCTATCATAATTCTGACCAATTAACCCATATTCTAGATTTTTCATGATGAGGTTAAGCTCTGCTCCATGCTAGAATAGTGTATCCTCCTGTTCTCCCCAGTGTCACTTCCTTGTATCACCTTGGATGTCCTATATGAGAGAACAAATGCCTCACCAGGGAATCCCAAGCTTGGAGAAGAGTGGGCACACAGACGGGTAGGGTAGAGAAAGGGGAGGTGTCTAAAGGCCATCCTTTAGACCCCCCCCCCCCTTTCTCTACAATACCCTTCTGTGTGCCCTCTCTTCTCCATGTTTGGGATTCCCTGGTGAGGCATTTAAAAATATCCTCTCGTATAGGCCATCCAAGGAAGTGACTCAAATAATTGGAAATCCAATGTTTCCAGTAGGTGAATTATGCTTGTCTTTTCTCATATGCTCAAGGTCCCCAGTACTAACTCCTTTTTATAATAATCAAATAAAATTGATTTCTTCGTTAAAATCCATCTCCCCTCAAAAACCTGGACAATGGTGGCTGTACTTTCAGCTCCCAGATTTTATTGACTCCCTTACAAAAACTGCCTCATTATATCGAGACCTGACTTGTTGTTAATCTCTTTGCCTACAGAAACACAAACTCGTGCATCTTATAGCTCAACTCTATGGCATTCTGATGAACCACGCATTTCCTATAGTCCATTTTATCTCTGCATGGAAGAAGGAACTCAAACTCCAATTTTCACAATCTTCACAAAATCTTCACACTTACACACAATTCGTATATGTTTCAGCAGCAGTTCAATAAAAGAGTTAAATTCTTTCTCGCTGGTACCGATGCTCATTAGAGCTGCTCAAGATTTCCAATTTCACTTCTCCTATATGTTGGAAATAAGAAGGATCGATTCTCCACATCTGGTGGTCATGTCCAAAACAAGATTTCTGGTCTCATATTTTTCAAATTTATGATCTAACTGGACAGCAAAGCCCGTGTTACTCCACGATAGATTACTCTGATTATTACCAAGACCTATTTGTATGATTCAGAAAGATCTATTCTGCCTTTTCTTAATTGCAGCCATAATTGTAATCTCCGCACATTGGAGGTCAGTGACATCCCTCAAGATTTCAGAGTGGTATGTTGAACTTTCACTCATTCAAGGTCTGGAAGAACTGGTGGCAAAATATCACGACAAGTATCCTACATGAACACCTGGGGGTTGATTTACTAAAACTGGAGAGTGCAAAATCTGGTGCAGCTCTGCATAGAAAACAAATCAGCTTTTTTTTTGTCAACACTTAATTGAACAAGCTGAAGTTAGAAGCTGATTGGCTACCATGCAGAGCTGCACTAGATTTTGCACTTTCCAGTTTCAGTA